GACTCGACCCCAAACCTCACCGCCTGACGGCCAATCTAGGGATGAGATGCAGCCGACCACATGCTCCAAACCACATGAGAAACTTACTCGGCTACGAGTACGGACGGACAGGCAAACCACCAACTGAAGTGGTTGATACTTTTGGTTCATCAGCCATTTCCTTGTCGTGCTATCGTTCAGAAGCCTGGCGATGGGTATCATGGTAACATACTGAGCCGTTCTAGCAGCTCGTACTGCACAGCGGATGAGCTGCGGCGGAATTAGCAACGCTTGCATTCGCGGTTGGCCTATCTTGCACGCCAGAGGATAGACGATGCGCACTCAGCCTACTGTCCGCTATGGCTGGGCAAGAAAGCGCATGCATCAGACTGAATTGGCAATGCGGCTCTGCGGTTGGCTAACCTTACGAGCCATAGACAGTAAGACGTTAGCCTATTTCTCGCTATGGCTAGGCAAGAAACTACAAGCGTTAGGCTAAATTAGTAATCCTTGCTGGGGACACTGCTCCCATTAACGTAGACAGCAACCTGTATCTGAGCAATAGATATGCGATGGGCGCTTACTTCTATAACAGTTGATGACTACAGACATTCATGTCCAATGCTGTTGTAGCCTCAAAATGCGCTTCCAACAAACAATTAGCTCTTCTTAAGTAGCTTTAGCTGCAAAAGTGGATCTAGCTGCCTGGAACTACTGTTTGCTTGCAAACCTTCGATGTCCCATGTTAAATGCCAGAGCGTAGTAATTTCTCACTTGACCGTCTCATTCTCTCTAGGCAATGCTCTTATCATTCAGTCAGCCTCGCCACACTGGTGGCACTAGCTGCCAGCGCACTAATTTAGTCGTTAAATCATTGGAAGATACATATATTTACAGAAAATCAGTTTAATGGTAAAAAGTTTCAAAAACGTACATGTTCAAAGTGCCCGTCGACATTTCGCATACGGTGCAGCATTCACCTGATGGTGTTGGCTAGCACTTTTTCCAAAGTCTCCACGGCGATCCCGCAACATTCGTTGAAAATACTGTGTCAGTTACTCAAAAGAACGGCTTGGTTTTGTAAACTCGTCCTTTCAAGTAACCCCATAGGAAAAAATCCAACGGGTCCAAATATGGTGACCGAGCAGGCCACTCTATTGGTCCTCGCCGATCAATCGAACAACAAGGGAACGTCACGTTGAGACAATCACATACCGTTTGTGCATACTGTGCAGGTGCGCCATCTTGTTGCTACCAAACCGAACTCAATAACTATGCGGCTTCAAGTTGAGGAATGACACAATTTTGCGGAAATTCCTTGTATGAAGATGCTAGCAAATGTAAGACATTAGTACTGCGAAACAACAACCTACCGGTCACACTACTGGAAAAGAAAAATGGTCCCGCGATTTTTTGACCAATGAACCCAGTCCATACCAAGAGCTTTACGCCATGCTGCTTAGGTAAAGCGCTGCACTGGCGTTAGTTACACGCTGACCAAAAATGCTGTTTGTGTGCTCCGAGCAAAACGAAAACCGCCAAACGGTAAAAAATGGAATGGATGTACATGGCCTTCAAAAACAAAGGGCAAAATTCATGCCGCTTCTCCAAAATGCACGGGTTCATGACTTGCGCTTGAAAGGGGCGATACGTGGGAAATATCTTTTCCTTTAAAATCCTGCGCACAGCACATCGGGTGGTGTCGCAATGCTGGGTGAGGGTACAAATGCACATATCTCGCCTTCTGGATACCTCACAGATAAATACGTAGTAACGCGAGGCCGCCCGGTTTTTTGGGTGTCGCACACGTTCCCACTTTTCAAACATCACCGTCCGTTAATGGGCCGCAAAACTCCATGGATAGTGTTGTATTGGCGAGCAGTTTCTTCAACGTTTGACCCGAACTTACTCGCCGATTAACAGGCATGTCAAGTGATTCGGATTGGAGATAAGTCGATGACGGCAGTATATGCTCGTGATCCATCGCCCAGGCAGGGATCCGATAACCAAATAGAAAGAATTGAACCAGTTTGTTAAGTCAAAGCCTGAATGCTCGACGAAAGATTAACCAACCGCAGAGCCGCATTGCCAATTCAGCCTGGTGCATGCGCTTTCTTGCCCAGCCATAGCGGACAGTAGGCTGAGTGCGCATCGTCTATCCTCTGGCGTACAAGATAGGCCAATCGCGAATGCAAGCGGTGCTAATTCCGCCGCAGCTCATCCGCTGTGCAGTACGAGCTGCTAGAACGGCTCAGTATGTTACCATGGTACCCATCGCCAGGTTCTTGAACGATAGCACGACAAAGAAATGGCTGGTGAACCAAAAGTATCAACCACTTCAGTTGGTGGTTTGCCTGTCCGTCCGTACTCGTAGCCGAGTAAGTTTCTCATGTGGTTTGGAGCATGTGGTCGGCTGCATCTCATCCCTAGATTGGCCGTCAGGCGGTGAGGTTTGGGGTCGAGTCTGCACTCCATATGCGACCGAACCGAAGGTGTGAATGACAAGTGTGGCGTTGAGTGCATATGCAGTCGTATGCATTTCGAAATGATTTGAAATATTGGTAGCTCGGGAGGCTTGCTCATTTGTTGTGGAGTTCTCCGAGCTGGGCAACTTGGTTGCAGACGTTTCGCCACCATGCGAGGTGGCACCTTCAGTGCGGGATTGATAGCAGGTAAGTAGCAGCAGCTGGTAGAAAGCAAACCCAATAATGGGTTTGCTCGGAGAACTCCACAACAAATGAGCAGTCGTATGGATGCTTGCGTTCAAACACAAGGTGTCGATTGGACGGTTTGAGTTTAGATAGAACGCGTCGCATTCCATTCAGACGCGTACCGGTGCGGCACAGAAGGTGCTTCCAGACCAGTATTTTCGGACTAACTGTAGAAGACAAGCGACTATTGAGGCAAGGCTGGGGAGAGTCAATATCTGAGGGATTGAAAACAGGGGAGATAAACGTAAATTTGGAGCGGGACGAAAAGGGTGAAAAAGCGCAAAAGGATGAATATGATGGGAAGCCCTGAGTATCCAAACCCCAACTCGCCCCGCCCGATGAAGCAGATAGGACGCCGTTTATTATTCTCTGCGACAGCCAGAGCAGAGAGTTGCATTAGGAGGCACCACCCCGAGCATTTAGTTGAGTAACCTACCAGCAAAAATGCGGAACGTGGTCAGGAAATCGCGACCAGTGAGAGCCAGTGGACGATTACCCAGTTCATACGACTTTCGTTCGTTTGGGCACCAAACAGGACACCCAGTCCCCCCCCACAACTTCAGCATCAGATCGATAACTGGTCAGTGGATGCCGCTCACTGCTGCGTCACTCTAATCCGCGAGTTCTGCGGTTCGATGAGGCTATCACGGTTAGTCGAATAAGCCAATGCTGTGTGTGCACAGTAATTCGCCAACCTCAGGCTGCCGTGGGCATAAGGACCGAAGCGCTGTCATCCATTTTTGAACCTCAGGTCTGTCAGTTTGGCCATATCCACCGTTTGGTATACTTTCTTATCGGTTATTGTTACAAGGATTGAAGAAGCAACACGAAATGCTTGAATTTACAAATTGCCGTTTTGTTGCTGATTTTCGGATACTAACAATAAGAATAACAATCACCATTATGGCAGATGCTTTAGAGCAGATCAATAATACCCAATAATACCCACTTTCAAGTAGCCATGAGCAATGAGGTGAGTTTTGTTGAAAAGTCCCAAGAGAATGTTTAATGGCAACTTACAATCCGTTGTTCCGGAAGAAACAAGGGGCAGCTGCAGGACAGGATCTAGTTATTTGAGCACAAGATAAAAAGTAACGGAGAAGCGACAGTCGACTCTAGATATATTCTATGGAGTGGTCGCATCCCTTGGTATGTCCGAAGCACATCCGGAAAGCTAAGTTTTGTTGCGCGGCAGCCAGCCACTTGGTAACTTATTGACTCAGTCGTGAGGAACTGGAGGGATATGATCGTCCCCCTTGGTGGTGATAGTGGGTGCGTCAATGCTGTGGTTAGCCCACGCATTTCGAAAGCTAGAGTTGCGTTCCCGAACCTGTAATACCTGTGGCGACAGAACGGGACTGCCCGAGTCTGAAAGGTCGTATAAGCAGGAACACAGTGAAAGCCGCTCTCAATAGGAATGAGGCAGACTCTGCGGCTTAATGTGCTTCCCAGCGACTGATCGTTGTCTGCGGAGTATTGAGGGTATCGCATGGTTTCGGCGTGTTATCGACGACGAGATGCGTAAGCGAGTAATAAGCGGCGATTGTCAGAGCAGTTCCTTAACCCATAAGTTGCGCAGAATTGGACATGTGTTATGTATACCCGACCATTGTTCCCTGAAAACAGTCTTGTTTTGTTTGCCGGATATTTGGTGATGATGCAAGACTTGAGGTGGGCAAAAGTTGAGCTGACAGTGGAAAATGAAGCCAATGACGAATGCAGTGGGTGCTGTTGGTCCATCTCCCTTTCCAGGCTGTAGTTCATGAGACCAGTGCTACACTTGACTCGGGACTTTGTAAGACGGCTCACAACGGGAAACAGTAATGCTTTTCCTACAGTACCCTAGTCGGATTGCCTGTTTGAAGTGTGTCTGATGCTGTAATCTGTGCGGTAACAATGATCACGACGCGGGGAAGTGAAAGGCGCAATGGAGCTGTTTCGCTGATGTCGCTTTAACTACGCACAGTAGTCGGCCGCATTGAAAGCGTGCAGTTGCAAAGGTATAGGTACCTTGCTCCCGAATGTTTTGATCAAGGGGCATAGGTTGCATACTAGATCCCATTCTCCCTTCTTATTATTTCTCATGTCCCAGGTAATTATGGTTCCGTGAAAAAGAAGTGTCAATTCAAGAGACTGATGCGTTTCTGAGGTAGTTGGTGAGAAGTAGAAACAAAGACACAAAACGGACAGTTACGTTGAAGAAGAGTGAGACGGAGACGCTGGCAATGGCGAAATGAATGAGACGAAAAAAATCAGAACAATCAAAGGAGGTCAATACAAGAAAACACATTAGAGACATCGGTGACTAACCTCCTTCCACAATAAATACAATAGAGCGATCACTTGCACCGTCTTCCCCAAACCCATCTCATCAGCCAGAATGGCGTTGACGTGATTGTGAAAGGCATGCCATAGCCAACGCACTCCCTCCACCTGGTACGGATGTAGAGCTGCGTGTTCTGAAGGGGACAAATACGATGGCTGCCCATCTTTCCAAATATTCTGAGAGTAGAAGAATATAAATTTGTAGTAGATACGGCAGAGTAATATAAGCGCATAGTGTCGCGGGTATCGTTGCAAGTAAGGGGAAAAGATAGAATGACGCAATGCGGTGGCGGTGTTCACAGAAGCGACCAATTTGAATGAAGCTGAATGACCGGAGTATCCATAACAAGCGTCATAGTGTTTATTCATTCAGGAGTTAAGAACAAATATAATGCATGTGGGACTCTAAACCAAACTGCCACGCGCGTGTAGTCAGGTTTGTAAGCTACTGGTCACGTAATGTTATGGTTAGTTCGCATTTTTGTTGGCTGTACACAGGACTAGAAGGCAGGGAGGGAATTCACTAAATAAGATTGCGCTTGCATCTAATCGACACACGAGTTGATCTTACGAATTGAGCACGCCGATATGTGTGGCATGGAGTCGGCGATCGTATCGTGCTGCTACAGTAGGCAAGTCGGTTCACAAAAGTCTAATGATGCTATCGATAATACAAAGGAAAACATTTCCAATTATGCAGTGACACCGAAAAATAGGTCTCATCATTGTCGGTGATTTGGGCTGAGTTTACATTTTAACTGAGTTGGAATCACAACTTTGGAGAGATCGACTAGCGATGCGAAAGTCTGACTAAGATGCTGTCAGAGGATTATTAAGGTCACTCACCGCAACGACGCCTCGGACAGGCAATAGTACCTGGTAAGGGAAAAGCTGAGACCTATAAACTTAGTCATGGACTCGAAGCTGCGCAAGGGGATTAGAGTGCAGATTCAATCACAGTCACGGTCAGCGCCGACTGTGATTCATGACTACAACTGCATCTGTTTTAATAGGAAAATGAAAGTTCGTTACGAACACAGTACGTGGTTGAGAAACCGAACTGAGCAATGGTACTCACATCACAATCGAAGTCAGGTAGATGGTGGCAACCGGCACGAAGAGAGAACAACCTTCGGTGCGGCTGGTTCGCCGAACAACCTCGTGGTGCCCACTGGGTGGTGCGGATTAATCCCGTTCTAGTGAATGGTTTGGCGGCAGTGTTCCAGAAGGTGGTGGGTTAACACCTGATAAGCATTCTCCCTATAAAAACCACATAAGTCAGTTTAACAACACTAAGACGTGGCGCGTGAGACAAGCTAAAAATAAAGTCAATGTTCCTTGCTTATAAGAAGCACTTTCTCCACTCCATAGACGTCAGTCCTCCAAGCTGAAGAGTTCCTTTGAATAGTTCTCATGCCGACGACCTGACTGAACACAACATCAAACGCAGCGTCAAATTAACACATTCACGTAACCTATATACATAGTTGGCGGCATCGGGTTTCGGATTTGCCTGTCAATGTGGCAAGCCACAGGGCGCCTGCGCCTACAGAGGGACCATGGGTGGCTTGCGCTGCACCACCCACAGCTCCATCCACACACCCCATATCCAGTGTAAACCCGAAGGAATAAGACCCGGAGGCATGTGGATGGGAGCCATGTTTCATCAACGGAGCCGGCCCACACTCCTTCACAGACAAACACAAGCACGCTGTATTTGGGGAATCAAGCGCACACAAGGCGGTGGCTGGACCGGAGTCCGCTCCACACTGAGTGCATGGAAACACTCTTTGAGCCTAGCACGGCCACAAGGACCGTGCACCCCGCCCCTCCAGCAACGACCAACTGTCTCCTGGAGCAAGTATGGACGAAGTAGTGGGTAATAGAGATGTAGGCACCTTGTCAACATGCGCATCAAGCGCAGCCACACCGGGGATATCAAGCAACAGCCAATCACTTGAAACGACAGGATGAAATAAAATAAATACAATGATGCATACAGATATGATGTCATAACTCTTCGATAAATTAGCATATGAAATAAGTTGGTTAGCAACGAAGTAAAAATTGTCCACAAGTTACTTAAAAATGCTACAAACGCAACGAAGTTACCGAAGATAAGCGCAATTAGCGTAAGCAACGTGGCCAGTTAGTATAAGATTATTTTCATGTAGGTAGAACAAACCAAATAAGGTGGAATGAAATTTATCCAGCTTAAAAAGACCTAGTTTAAGTGTAAGTTGGTTTAGCCTAACTGCGGTGAAGAAGCACCAAGAATGCAACATCAGTCTCAACAAAATTCATACCTACATGCATTCATATACACATACGCACATAGATCCAGTACATTACTGGTAAATTTAAATTTTGTACAATTATCTATCAATCCTGTTTGTATTACTATGATCATGCCTATACAGGCCTATCTCGCACTGTTGAAAAACAAAAAATTTATTTATTTACTTATAAAGAAGGAGGTATTGTGGGTTTACTTGCAGCATCTGTTGTGTGAATTGATTGCGATACTCAATCCTAAGCTGAACCGCGATAAACGGACGCGAAACACCCGGCAGCAGATCAGGTGCGCGTATCAAATGTCTCTCGTTGTTCAAGGCCTGAACAACAAAAAACAACCCTGGTAGTCACTAAGATAAGTACGTTTTTGCGAGGGTACTGGTTTTCACTGCAACAGAATAATCTACGATAAAGACAAAGGGGAATAAAACGACAGAGGAACCTAACTGTGGGAATAGCTCCAACAACCTAGGTGAGGGTGAGTTGCGTCAGCACGAGTTAAGCAATACTGAAGTTCGCCAGTTGGCACTTGGAAAGAGGCTCCCCAGAGACGCACTTGAGTGTATACTATACTTGAAACAGGCGTTGGTTAGGTCATGTCTTCGATGTATCCGTTGAGCACCCGTTTAGGTGGGTACTTAACGCCGTCACTACGTTTAGCTAGGTGAAATAATGAGGAAGACAATGCTCAGTCAGGTTAGAACTTAAAGTTTTAATGGACAGGGGCCTTGGGATGGATCACATCAGTGGTTGATGATCTTTTAGGGCATGTCACAGTCGCGGAGTGAGGGATGCTTCTGCATTCGCTCGGCTGTATCTAGCTGTTAACATCCGAACCCGAATAAAACTCTCAGTACTCTTTTCTAACTGCCATCGGTTGGCAGACAACACGCGCTGCACCCCATTTTCTCCATCAGTGTCAAATAGTGTTATTCAGGTTAGTCGTGACAATCGCATCATAGTTGACTAGATCAAGTGAAGCAAATGAACACAAGAGTGCGAAAATTGCTCTTTCGACAGAGCTCATCAGACGTTTACAATAATAAACTGAAATAATGCTGAAGCGAGGTGAGAATTGGCGGAATCAGAACAAGCCAGAAATTAGACTGTCTTAAGCGATAAATTAGTCCAACTCTTCAGATAGTGGCCACCACAGTACACGCATGCTTGCATGTGGAGTGGAAGCTGTCTGGAAGTACGTAAACTCTAAGGCAGAAGGAGGGCTTGCAAAAGTGCCCTTTGTTTGCATAGCTCACATTGTGTACGCTTGGTCGCAATGGCTTCGGCCGTCCGTAAGATCCGTTTCCTAACCTATTTGGGGTACCGGTGTGGCACGACATAAAATATTTTGAAGGTGTCAGTAGTCCACTTTAAGCCAGGCGTTCTAAAATGAAACTTTTGATGCACCTGACACTACATTTTTGTAATGCCGCTGGGCAGTTTTCCACTATCCGTTTAGAAATACGTCTAGTCGTAAGTCCGATGTAACTCACAACAGAGATGTAAGTAAATTGTTAAAGACTGTAGGGTTGGGACTGAACCGACAATCGGACCTTAAAACATTGGACCATAAACAGCGCGGTTTCCGTAATAACGTGCGGATAGGCAGCTTGGGAATTCTGAGATACTACAGTGGCAAATATTTTGTTTAACAAATCGAAGTCAATATCTCCTTTGAAGAGAACTGATAGAAACACACCCTTCTTTGGAACAGTGGTAATCACTTTGCAGTGAGTGCTTTCGAATGAACGTCGCTGGGTAACCGTTCCCTTCCAGAGTTTTGAGAATACGGTTCTTTTCACACTGATGTCGCTGGGCTGCACATTTTGGTAGCGCGAAAATGCAGGTAGCGAACAAGGTTCCGTTTGTACTTCAACAGCACAAAGCTGATAAAATGCGTTTATTGATCAATCTACGTCGCTTCCTGACACATATTTCTAGTGGACCGTATTTTTTCTGCCTAGCAAAACGTCCATCCGTTTCGATTTCACTGGTGAATGTACACGATGAATGTTTCACAGTGAATGTACACTGTTTAACTGATTTAGCGAGCTAGAAACATCAGTGTCTGTAGGATAGACTATAAACGTCTCATCTATATATCGACAATAGGAATCTAGTGAAAAGACAATGGGTTGTATTTAAGCATAGCGAGGGAAATGTTAGCAAGAAGCTGTCCTAAGGGGGACATCATCGATCTGTCCATAATAGATTCCAAAAAAAACAAAATTGTCAGTTGGAAGAGCATCGTAAGATTAATTCATTCAGTTTTTGCACCGGAATACCCATATCTATGCGCTCTTCGCTTAAGTAATCACAAATCAAATTATATATATATATATATATATATATATATATATATATATATTTATTTATTTATTTATGGCGTGCCCCATGCTGAGGCTGATATTGCATTCTTGATGCTTCTTCACCGCAGTTGGGCTAAACCAGCTTACACCTAAACTAGGTCTTTTTAAGCTGGATAAATTTCATTCCACCTTATTTGGTTTGTTCTGCCTACCTGAATGATCTTCTATTAACTGGCCACGTTGCTTACACTAATTGCGCTTATCTTCGGTAATATTGTTGCGTTTGTAGCATTTTAAGTAACTTGTGGATATTTCTTACTTATCACGGATTTGTTGCTAACCAAATTACTTCATATGGTAATTTAGCGAACAGTTATGCCACCGTATCTGTATGCATTATTGGATTTATTTCATTTCATTTTGTCGTTTAAAGTGAATGGCTGTCGTTTGATATCCCTGGTATGGTTGCGCTTGATGTGCATGTTGACAAGGTGCCTACATCTCTATTACCCACTACACCGTCCATACTTGCTCCAGGAGACAGTTGGTCGTTGCTGGAGGATACGGGGTGCA